TCTCACTCTGTCGCCCAGACTGGAGTGCAGTGGCCGCTCCTGGCCATCACAGCCTCGACCTGCTGGGCTCCAGCGATCCTTCCATCTCAGCCTTCTCAGTAGCGGAATTACAGGCATGTACTACCACGCCCGGCTGATTTTTTGATTTATTGTAGAGATGAGGTCTCGCTGCCCAGGCGGGTCTCAAACCCACGGGCTCAGGCAATCCACTCACCTCAGCCTCCCAAAGGCGCAGGATTACAGGCTGAGTCACCGAGCCCAGCTCAAAAATCTCTTAATGAGAACACAGTGTATGTGTGTGTTTATTTCAGCAGCAAGTCTGAACTGTTTGTGAAAACTAAATATAGACATGGCTATCCAAAGAAATGGGATTTTAGCTAACATTTGAGATGCACTGTACTAGGTATGTGAAGCAAATAAGTGATTTGGAAAGGCTTGGCTGACAGTTACTGCTATAATATGATATGACTGGGCACAGTGGCTCACGCCTGTAATCCCATCACTTTGGAAAATCAAGGTGGAAGGACCGCTTAAGGAAGGGAGTTCAGTACCAGCCTGGGCAACAAAGCAAGACCCCCATCTCTACTAAATATACCAAAAAAAGGTAGCCAGGAATGGTGGCGTGTGCCCATAGTTCCAACTATTCAGGAGGCTGAAGAAAGAAGATCACCAAGCCCAGGAATTGGAGGCTGCAGTGAGCCATGATTGTGCCACTACCCTCCAGTCTAGGTGACAGAATGAGACCAAACTGGGGGGAAAAAAAAAGCCAATTTAGTCATTTTAATGGACTCATTCCCTGTCACCAGTTGTTTGCCCATGGTATTCATTTATGTGTACATACATAGATCTGTTTAAGGGACCAAAAGTCTGTTGCTTGGTTAGCATGGACTCAGAATGCAAGTATCTGGGATTTTATTTTTTTATTTTTTTTAAAGACAAGGTCTTGCCGTGTTACTCAGGCTGGTCTTGAAGGTATCTGGGATTTTAAAACATTGTATTAGGCTCTAAAATTTTTAAGGATTATTCCTTTCTTTAAGGTCTTTTTCCTTTAACCAGAAACCATTACCAAAACTTAGAATATAAGTTTCAGTTTAGAACAGAAGGTAGATTTCCATCCCTTTCCTATTCCTGTCATTTTTAAGTTCCACAGTACTTAATCCTTTGAATTTTCCTGTTTCTGCCACCTTATTGCATCATTTTTATAATCTTATCATTATTCTTGTGACTGTGGGCAGGGAATACTCTCTTGATTGTCTCCAGAAAGTTTTCAGTAACTTCTTCCCTAGCGGCCTTGCATATTCCTGTTAACTTCATGAGCAAATCTTTTCTGATGTTGTTTCCCTTGTCTTTCGTTTCTAATGGGCATTCTTTAAAACTAAGGTTGCTATTTTTATTGACTATTGTTAAAGTTACTTTGGGGCTTAATACTCTTGGTGAGTGATTAAATCAAATCTTGGAATTTATGAACTGGAAAGGATCTTAGATTTCTGATCCTGAGTTTGAACCAAAGGAAATAAGTATTGCTTGCTCTAAAACATTTGGACATTAGTGGAATATATTTATACTATATATTGGTGGAAAAGTTAATATGACATTCATTGTTTCCTGTGTTTATTAAGGAAGGTCACAATGTATAAATCAATGGTTCTCAAACTTGATTGTGCCCTAGAGTCACAGGAAACTTATTAATCACTCAGAGCCCTGATAAGTGTCTGATTCCACAAGCCTGTGAGGTGGCAACCAGACATCTGCTTTGTTAGCGAGCATCCCCAGGTAATTCTGACATAGGAAGAACTGTGACCACACTTTGGGAAAGAGAGCGAGATTGACACAGATGACTAATCTTCCCAAACAAGAAGTATTAGCCTGACCAGTACACAGACTGCATCCATATCAGAACTAAATAGGAGACTTTTTTTTTTTTTTTTTGAGTCAGAGTCTCACTGTATTGCCCAAGTTGGAATGTAGTGGCATGTTCACGGTCTTCACAGCCTCTGCTGGGCTCAGATGATCCTTCCGCCTCAGCCTTCCAAGTAGCTAGAACCACAGGCATGTGCCACCATGCCCAGCTAATTTTTTGATTTATTGTAGAGATGAAGTCTCGCCATGTTGCTCAGGCTGGTCTCGAACCCCTTAGCTCAGGCAATCCCCTCGCTTCTGCCTCCTAAAGTACCGGAATTACAGGCTTGAGCTACTGCTCCCAGCTGAGACTTTCTTTTACCCACATCTGTGTTCAAGTATAAAAATAACTTCTTGGGGCCAATCATGGTGGTTTACACCTGTAATCCCAGCACTTTGGGAGGCCAAGGCAGGAGAATTGCTTGAGGCCAAGGGTTCAGGACCAGCCTGGGCAACATAGCAACCCCCTTCTACCAAAAATAAAATAAATAAAGCTTGTTGGGCAGAATTTAAGCAGTACCAAAATAAAAAAATTATTTCTCTAAAATTAAGTTTGGGGAAATAGAATTTTCTGAGTGAAGAAACAAGGAAATATTTTTAATATTAATTCCTCATAGATCAGTTGTGTTTCCTCAGAAGGATAAGACTTGAGAGCCAGGTTCTAACTATAGTTTAGATCCAAAGAGCCTCCTCTGTGACTGCCTGGAGGGCCTGTTAGTGACTTGTGGAAAGAACAAACGCATCTGTGTGTAAAGCAAGTGATGTCTGGTTTCAAAGAAAATAAAACAAAGCTTTTTATGATGAAGGCTCTCCTTCTTAGTGTCGCATAGGACGGGTGTCCTTGCCCTTTCAGTATTGCCTTCCAAGTGTGGTTTTCTCGTTCCACCTAAACAGGACTAAAGTGGGAAGTTTTGTTGACTGTGTCTCATTTTCCAGCACTCTAGCAAGGGCGTAGCTTGCTTGCGCGTTCTCCCCCTCTCCCCCTCTCTGCCTCTCCCCCTCTTCCCCTCTTCCCCCCTCTCCCCCCCTCCCTCCCTTTTACCCAGATGCTTGATCTCAGGCTGCTATGCCATTTATGCCAAGATTTATCTTGTAACAATTACTTCACAAAGCTGCAGAGGGAAGCAGAGAGCTGCCGATGGGTTTATACCAGGGACATTAACTTGCTGTCATGCAGCTCTGGGTTTTCTCTCTGTTAAACAGATTATTTTTTAAATGTATTTCGAGCAAGTTTTTATTATTTAATAATGATAAAAGAGATATATACTTGTAAACTCCAAGTGAAGCATGTTTATGTTGTAGTCACTGACCTAAAATAAAAGGAATATTCTAACTGGGCTCGGTGGCTCAGCCTATAATCCCACGCCTTGGGAGGCCGAGGTGAGTGAATTGCCTGAGCCTACAGGTTCGAGACCCGCCTGGGCAACTTGGAGAGCCCTCATCTCTACAATAAGTCAAAAATCAGCTGGGCGTGGTAGCGCGCCCCTGTAGTTCCAGCTACTTGGAAGGCTGAAGCGGAAGAATCGCCGGAGCCCAGCAGGTCGAGGCTGCGGTGGCCAGGGGCAGCCACTGCACTCCAGTCTGGGCGACAGAGTGAGACTCCAACTCAAAAATAAAAAAATAAAAGGAATATTCTAGCCAGCAACTGTATTGGAGAGTCTCAGTTGGAGAGTAATTTATTAAGGAAATAGAGGAACACTTTCTGACATTTTTGCCAAGTTACAACAGGATTTAAAATTATGTCAGTTGAAGTTCTGTAGCTTTGGGTTTTGTTTGTTTGTTTATGTGTGTGTGTGTTTGTTTTGTTTTGTATTTTATCCATTAAAAAAAATTCAAGCTCCTTCTAAT